TTAAACCCCTGTGCATTTTTTTTTTTTTTTACATAAATTCAATCCACATGTTTTTGATTTATTTATATTTAAGTCATCAAATCGAATTAGGAGCTACAATGATGAATGGGAACAGTGCTGATTTCCAAGAAGATTTTTGAGCCCTTTTTCTTAGAACTAAATCTCATTCTACACCCCCACCCCCCAACTGCTAAAACTACCAGACTGGGCTGGGTTTGAAATTTAGAACCCAAATGTGAAATAAAGATCCCTGTTTGGCAAAGACAGCGTAGCAGGGAATGTTCTTAGGAAGTCACAGCTAGAAAGAAAAGCAGGCGGGGGGTGGGGTGGAGAATGTCAGGGGAGACAGTTGCCCCCAAAGATGGTCTAGACAAGCAAGCTGGCCTTGAAGAGAAGGTCTCCTAAGAGAAGACCCCGACCATTTCTACTGGACATGGTTTATCATTAGCACCAAGGGGAAGGGGCTTCTGCCCCCCAAATTGCAGCTGGGGGTGTTCCCTGAAACTGTGATCTTTCTTCTTTCCCCATAGTATCCAACTCAAGCCGCCCCTCCCCCTACCTTCCAGCAGCCTCCTCCCCTTCCTGCTCTGGACAGGGCCTTCCATCTGGAAGCATTTAAAATGCGCAACAATTATAATCTCCTACAAGGGAATCTTAGGATAGACACTCTGTACTCATTAAGGTAAATCGTGGGTTCGCCATTTTATTTTGCACAGTTCTGTCTGGCTTAGCACTATGCACACCCAAAAGGCCATTCTAGTCTTTCTGCTACACCATCAGTTTCCGCAACTCCAGTCTGAGGTCAATAGCACTTTTCTGAGAAACTAGCTAGCTGAGGTCCCAAGACAAAGTTGTTTCTTCTTCTTCCTTTTTTTTTTTTTTTTATTGAGGCAGAGTCTTACTTTGTCATCCTCAGTAGAGTGCTGTGGCATCACAGCTCACAGCAACCTCAAACTCTTGTGCCCAAGAGATTGTCTTGCCTCAGCCTCCCAAGTAGCTGGGACTACAGGCGCCTGCCACAGTGCCCGGCTATTCTTTTTTTTTTTTTTTTTGTAGAGATGGAGTCTCATGTTATTGCCCTGGGTAGAGTACCGTAGCATTACACCACTCACAGCAACCTCCAACTCTTGGGCTTAGGTGATTCTCATGCCTCAGCCTCCCGAGTAGCTGGGACTACAGGCACTGCCACAACGCCTGGCTATTTTTGTTGTTGTTCTTGCAGTTTGGCCGGGGCCAGGCCTGAACCCGAACCCGCTACTCTCAGTATATGGGGCTGGTGCCCCACTCACTGAGCCACAGGTGCTGTCCTATTTTTTTTTTTTTTTTTTAGCAGGCCCAGGCTGGGCTTGAACCCATCAGCCCTGGAACATGTGACTGGCGCCCTAACCACTGAGCATGGGCTTAGGTTCCAGATGAAGGTGGCTTTTTCAGAACCTCATGCATTAGTAGTTGGTGGGTCCCAGTGCACTGACCAGAAAAACTTCCCTGAACTCTGCTTCTGTCCTCTAGAGGCACTGATTTATTTAGATGGGCCTGGTTACATTACATGCAGGCCTGTGTGCTGCTTAGTAACCGTATAACTTTAAGGAAGTTATTTTAATTTCCTAGCCCAAATTTTCCAATCTGTAAAATGGGTATGATAACTATATTTAGCTCACAGAGTTGTCGTGAGGGTTAAAGGAGATATTTCGTGTAAAAACCTTGGTAACGTTGGATGAAGACAGGAAGATGTTGGTTAGAGGGTACAAAGTTTCAGTGGGGAGGAGTAAGTTTTAGAAACCTGGTATACGGCATGGTGACCACAGTTAATAATAATGTCATGTATATTTTTTAATTTATTTTATTTTATTTTTTTGTTGTTGAGACCGAGTCTCAAGCCGTCACCCTGGGTAGAGTGCTATGGCTGTCACAGCTCATAGCAACCTCAAACTTCTGAGCTTAAGCAATTCTCTTGCCTCAGCCTCCCGAGTAGCTGAGACTACAGGTGCCCACCATAACACCCAGCTAGTTTTTGGTTGTAGTTGTCATTGTTGTGTGCCAGGCCTGGGTTTGAACCAGTCAGCTCTGGTGTATGTGGCTGGCACACTAGCCTCTGAGCTACAGGTGCCGAGGCAATATTTTTAAATTCTTAATAGAGTAGGTTTTTTTTTTTTTT